GCAGCAACTAAGACAGATTGTGACCACTGAAGTCTTAATAGTCCTGAAGATTTCAAAACTTTTGATTCAGCGTGTCAGCTTCTCCCCTTTCCCTTTTGATTTTATTTACACCATCGATTTCTTCAAATTAACAATAACTGTGTATCTATTACTAAGATTTAATTCTGATGTGAAAGCACATATTCAAAACTGCTCATTTCTAATTGCTTTGAAATACACACAGTGGGTATTTAATTTAGTTGTTGCCTGTCCAGATGGTATGGTGGGATTAGTAAAGAAATGAATATAAATAGAGATAAGAAGAGGATCAAGGACTAGAGAGGCTAGAGAAAAAAACAGGACTGCAATAAATGCAAAGGGTATGGGCACGTGAAATTAAGGAACATTATCCTGGAAGGAATATTGAGCACATCAAGGAGTGAGTGATCCACACACTTAAATCATTGTGTGTATTTAATGCAACCTCAAATGTCACTGCTAACAAAAATAATTGTTTAAAGTTTCTTCTGACAACCTTTGCTTCCAGGGTTCTTGCATAAAAGCAATGAGAGGATTTTCTAAAACTGTCCAAAGAGTGTATCTGGATCATGAGGTAGAGTGGTTCCCATTTTCCTAAGAAACTGCCATAGTGATTTCCAAAGTCGCTGTACAAGTTAGCACTCCCACCAGCAATAGAGGAGTGTTCCATTTTCTCCACATCCTCTCCAGCATAAACTGTCATTGGTGTTTTTGATTTTAGCCATTCTAATGGGTGTAAGATGGTATCTCAGAGTTGTTTTGATTTGCATTTCCCTGATGGCTAAGGATATTGAGGAATTTCTTAGGTGTCTTTCAGCCATTTTAGATTTCTCTATTGAGAATTCTCTGTTTATTTCTGTACCCCACGTTTTAATTGAATTATTTGGTGTTTTGGAGACTTGCTTATTGAGTTCTTTGTAGGTTTTGGAGATAAGCCTTTTGTCTGATGTGGGGTTGGTGAAGATCTTTTCCCATTCTGTAGGCTGCCTTTTTGTCTTGTTGACTGTGTCCTCTGCCATACAGAAGCTTCAGTTTCAGGAGGTCCCATTTATTAATTCTCGATCTCAGTGTCAGTGTTATATTCAGGAATTGATCTCTTGTACCAATTCATTCAAGGGTACTTCCCACTTTCTCTTCTAAGAGGTTCAGTGTGGCTGGATTTATGTTGAGGTCTTTGATCCATTTGGACTTAAGTCTTGTGCATGGCGAAAGATATGGATCTATTTGTAGTCTTCTACATGCCAGCATCCAGTTATGCCAGCACCATTTGTTGAAGATGCTATCTTTTTTCCATTGTATAATTTTAACTTCTTTGTCAAAAATCAGGCAGGCATTCGTAGGTGTGTGGGTTAATATCAGGGTCTTCAATTCGATTCCATTGGTCTACCAGTCTGTTTTTGTGCCAATACCAAGCTGTTTTCATTACTATAGCTCTATAGTATAGCTTGAAGTCAGGGATGGTGATGCCTCCTGAAGTTCCTTTATTGTATAGGGTTGTTTTGCCTATCCTGGGGTCTTTTGTTTTTCCATAAAAAGTTGAGAATTGTCTTTTCAAGGTCTGTGAAGAATTGTGCTGGGATTTTGATGGGGGATTGTACTGAATCTGTAGATTGCTTTTCGGGGGGGGGATTGATATGTAAAATTATTGTTTCCAAATAAAAAAGGAAAAAGTTGTGTACAAAATGCTGGGAAGGTGACTCAGTGAATAAAGTGCTTTCAGTACAAACACGAGAAACCAAGTTTGGAATTCCAGTAGTCACACCAATATCTAAGCATAGATACATACCAGGAACTCCAGTATTATTGGGGAGGAGGAAGCATGATGGGAGAAAAGAGCATCCCTGGGTCTTGATGTCTGCTAACCCAGCTGCCAAATTCTAAGTTCCCATATTAATTACTGCTTTGTGAAATTAAATTATTTGATAATACTAGGCTCAAATCTCAGAAGGTTACAACCAGCTGGATGTCTGTGGTGACTAGTTATTGTAGGTGATTGATATGGACTCTCAAATTCCTCATAATCCCTCTTAATATAGGGTTTAATATAGGTTGCTATTAATAGAAATACACAATTGAAATAATTCTTATATTTATGTGTATCAGATTTTGACAATTAAAAACTAGAATGAAACAGTTGTGCTTCAAAACATTTTCACTTCCTTATATAAATGGAAAGTATTTTAGGTATGCCTATACAATATTTTTGAAATAATTAAGCTTCAGATACAGAAATTGTGTGGCACATTAAAGGAAAATATAATTAAGATATAGCATCCCCCTTGTCTGGGGAAAATGTTCTGAGAGCATTAGTGGATATTGGAATATGTGAAATTGTGTGTATATAGTTTTTCCTATACATAATTATTCATGGAGAAGTTAACTTTTGAATTTGGACACAGTCACAAATGAATAAGGATAACCACTAATAGGAGAACAACTGTACTTATTTCTGTACCTGATCTGCTTCTTGTGATGATGTGAAATGATAGCACAGTGATGTAATGTGAGGTGAATGATAGCATTAGGGTATTGTGTAAGTATCCATAGATGCTACAACAATTGATCTGATAACAAAGACAACTACTAAGTGATTTATTAATGGATAAGTAGCATTAACATTACACATATGCTAGATCAAAAAGTTATATCGCCAGTAGGAAGGAATGAATGTCAAAGGAGCCCACTGTTATTTCAAAGGGTATTTGACTTCACATTTGCAGATTTTTTTATTTCTGGAATTTTCCATCAGTATTTTTGGACTGCATTGACCACAGATAACTGAATCCCTGGAAAGAGAAACCACAGATAATAGGGGTAAGGTGCTAGTGCTTAAGAAAAATGTACAATTAAGACCTAAATTGTAAAACGTAGGCTAAAATTCAGCAAGTTTTGTATTTCATCACACGCACTAAGTATTGCTACAGGGAAATTTTAGGCATCAAAATATTCAATATATTATCAATATATGAAGTATCTACTGAAGCTGATGAGATGGCTCAGTGGTCAAAGGTATTTGCCTTCAAACCTGACAACCTGAGTTTGAACCCCAGGACTCTGGAAGGAGAAAACTGACTCCTGGCCAAAGAAGTATCCTCTGATCTCTACATGCACACTATGGGATGTATGGGCATTTGTGCATGCATGCATGCACTCTCACATGCATGCATGTGCACATACACAAATGTAAAAAAGTATCTACTAATTGTAGGACTAATTGAATGTCAGTGTGAAGTATTGTTATAAATATGTTTAAGAAATGATTGAGTAATTTGTGCAGGCAATTTATGTGGAAAAGTTAAATCTCTTGTACAATTTTCTTTTTAAAAAATTTGTGTGTGCACATGCCTGTGTGTGGAAGACACAGATTGACACTGGGTGTCTTCTTCAGCCATTCTCCACCTCTCATTTGAGACAATCTCCTAGTGAATGTGGATCTTACCAGTTTGGCTAGATGAACTAGCCATCCAGCTTGAGCTCCAGGCAGGCACGCTTTTATCTCTACTTTAGTAACACTGGAACTATAAGAATGTACCTAGATTTTTATATGGTAGATGGGGGATACGAACTTGGACCCTCATGCTTACGTGGTAAGTGCTTTACCAACTGAGCCAATCCCTATCTCCTCTTATAAAATTTTTTAAACATATATGACAATACAGATATAAAAATATCACAGAATTATGCATAGTTGGTCAAGGTACCAATGAGAATTTTGATGTCCATGAGTTCTTTGCATGTTATTCATTATAATTAAATCATAGAATGATTTACTTATTTGAAAACAAGTCCTAAATAAAATGTATACAAATAATAATCAACATACACATGTAAGTATTAATGCCAGATTTGCTTATGATTAGTATATTCAGTATTGTGAAATTTTGCAGAGGTTTCATTGTTTTGCTAGATGATTCACTGGAAATTATTTGCTTTGTGGTAAACTATTGAACTAGAGCATATTAAAGATATAGTAGCTGCCATCATGAGGTGGAGACACTTTCCCTCTCTGACTTTAACAACAAACAGCTTAAAAGTTGGAGGGAAGTGCTTTCCAATTGAGCCAATCCCCAATTCCCTCTTATAAAAAATTTTTATGCACATACGACAATACAGTTATAAAACTATCATAGAATTATACACAGTTGGTCAAGGTATGGTGATTAGTTTCCCTTTCTGAGTCTAGGTACCCCAGTTAGGGTAAGGTACTCATGCTACGAAATTCAGTGTAAAAATTCCCTAGGAAGGAATCAACTTATTCATTTATGATACTGACAAAACTATGTATCTCTATGCCAGCTCACGAACCTTTGTTAATCAGTAAAAAAAAATACTATATTTGACATTTAATTTCCAATCAAAGGGAAAACACTGATAGCCTGATATAAAAGAAAATGTGAGATTTCTGGTTTACATATTAAAGTGATAATAAAGAAAATTATTATCATTAATTATTGCTATTTTAATTTGGATTTTTATTTTTAACTTACAATATCATTAGTCTGAATTTTTATCCTAATCTCATATGCTCATCTCATCATTCATTAAAGAAAATTTTATTGCATTCCTGGAAGTTTATTTTTATTACCAGCCTGATTTACTCAGGTATATCTCCTGCTCTTGTCTCCTTTGAGTTTGACATTTGGGAATGAGGTGATATTTTAGTTCTTCTTTCACATTTCCGTACATTTTTCCTCCAAGAAAAGGAAAGGTGTCAGTATAGGACATTGTCAGTCACTAAATGCACAAAACACGTAGTTTCGTGTATGTTATACATGCTATAATAAGTATTTACTTAGCAGTTATTGGAGGAGTGCATGGATGAATAGAAGGGGGATTTACATGAAAGACAAACATGTATTTAGAAAGCTTTTTTAATGGAAGCAGTATTAAAATGAGTATTATTAAATCATCTACATGTTTAACACAATTGGAAATAATTTTCCTTTCCCTTAAACTTCTTCTTCCAACCAATCCTGCCATAGATGCCTATACCAAAGCTGAAGTGATTTACTCTTGGACTCTTGGGAAGAACAAATCTGTGGAAGTAGCACAGGATGGCTCTCGCCTGAATCAATATGACTTGCTTGGCCATGTTGTTGGGACAGAGATAATCCGGTCTAGTACAGGTATTGACTTATATATTAAAATTCTGTGTTGTGTGTATAATATGCCAGCATTGTATTTATAACTTATTTAACCTTTAAAAATTTTTGAATACTATTACAGAGATGAAATTGCAGGAATTCAATAATTTGTCCCATATTGTTATTCCGTGTCAGAATCAAACTGTGAACCCAAGCAGGAAGTTCTTAAATCCTTCTGAACCCTAGTGCCTCGATGCCTCTTAAGGAGTGTGGCAGAAGTTAAAGGAAGTGTGATACAAATCAGAGATAGCATTGGGATAAGGTCACTGAGCTTAGGTCACAGAGGGTTCATTAGCACTGAGGCAGTAAGTTTCACCCACCTCAGAGAAAACATTTTTTTTCACGAAACCTACAAAATCTTCTCAAATCTCATTTTTGAGTAAACAAATACTTTTTGAGAGACATGCTCTGTAGTTTTCAATTTGTCCATTTGAATACTACCTGATTCTAGGCATACAATAAAATGGAAACTTTCTTGAAATTAAAAAATACCACAAAAGGAATGCAGAGTAATTGGAAAAATGGAATAGATGCTATGTCTCATATGTCACATAAAATACTTTGTGCTATTATAGTGTGGAGGTGTTCAGCATTACTTTTCAAACACTAATCTCTGTGAGTCCACGATTACTGATGAAGTTGGGTACCCAGTCATTATTTCATTATTTGAACATCACTTGACTATGACTTCATGGTGTTATAGCATGCTCATTTTGTCTGTTCTTCATTTCAATACCAGGAGAAAGTATAACATATTAGAAATGCCTTTGCCCAGGAGTGTATTCTGCACCAATTAATTGTGTTCCCAATCCTGGTCCTCTTCTGAAACACCTATTTGGCATCAAATTTGAAAATCAATGTTACTGGTTATCCAAGCAGCTCAAGATAACATTTCATAGTTTAAGCCACTGTTTAAGTTTTATCACATGAAAACTATATGCTCATAATAGGAACAATGAAATGCATGAAAAAGCCATTAGAGAAAATTTGGATACAACCAACCCAATGTATTCATAAGCTCTGTATCTGCAGCTTCAATCAAGTGAAGAATGAAAATCTGTTTTAATTGTAGGATAAAATGTGTACATGCTTTTGTCATTCTCTATACAATGTAGTATAAGAATTATTTGTTTTGTATGTGATATTTTAGTTTTAAAGAATAGTATACTTGAAGATAGATGTTATAAACATATTGTGCAATTTTATGCAAGAGACTAGAAAATTTGGGGATTTCTGTGTTAAAAGGGGCTCCTGAAACCAGTCCACAAAAATTACAGACTTACAGTTTAACTCTTTAATTTCACTACCTGGAAAAATCCAGTAAGAAACTGGAGAGATGCCTCAGTAGTTAAGAGTATTGGCTGCTCTTACAAAGGACTTGATTTCTACGAACATATAGACGGTAGCTTATAACCCTGTAACTCCAGTTGCAGGTGATCTGACACTGGTAGATAAGCAGGCAGAAACAAACACAGAAATAAAAATAAAAAATAGAAAATTTTTCTTAAAAGATTTAATTAATTGACTTGTGCATACCACTATATAGAATTCCCTTTGCACATTGAAATGTATCTGTATTAAAGAATCCATTCCATTTATTCTTTTGTAAATTTTATCTACTTAGAACATTATAATTTTTATAAAGTTTTCATTCATTAGATGTACAGTAGCCAAGCAAAATGCACATACAATTCGGTACCAATATACTAACAATGGTAATAAAGACACTAATATTTGATTTCTTTAAACAAAACTAAAATATTAAAATTCTGTCTTTCAAGGCCAGAGAATTCTTGATAACTATTTGTGTTTTTCTGTGGAAAATGTAGCATATCATTTGTAATGGCACTGTACAGGGATCATAGCTTACTTAACCAATTATCTATCATTATGCCTTGGTTTAATTCTATAAACAATATTTGTGTAGACCCTCCTTTTCCAGACAACATTTTACTACAGTGTAATTATCTGTCTATGATCCAGACAGAACATTGAAAATAACACATGTTGGCAAACTGCTGCTTTGAAAGTTTAACCAATTCCTTTTCCCACTGTCCCTGTATGAGCATGCTAGTTTTCCTTTTTCCTTAGCAATACTGGTATTATGAATTAAATTACCCCCCACAAAGATATGTCAAAATATTAACTGTATCACAGAAGAATGCTACCTTATTTGGGAATAGTGTCATTATAAATGTAGTCACTGACGATGAAGTCGTATTGCACTAATATAATATAACTGGTATTCTTCTGAAAAGGGGAACTTGGACAGAGTGAAGAATGAGCATGAAAGACTATATGAACACAAAGGCTGTGATCAGGTGGATGTTTCCATAAGAAAATAACAAGTTGAGATTAGTAAGAGGCAAGGAAAGACTCTCTTACAGGTTTTAAACAGAGCCAGGCCCTACTTATAACTTCATCTCAAACCTCTGAGTGATAGAATTGTCTTGTTTTAACATATCCAATATCTGGAACTTTTTGTGGCAACCTCACCAAATTATTGCAGCCAGAAACTCTTGTTTTATTTTTCTTAGCAATGAAGGAATAAACACATGCATGGTGATGAAATTGATGATGAATAATTGTTGAGTTTTTAGTGTGTGACAGACATAGCACTATGGACGTGTAGTAACTCATTTTAACCTTGAAAAACACTGAGAAGAAAGCAATATTGGTCCAGGTGTCTTGATAAAGAAATCATGGATCAGAATAATTCAGTGCAATAAGCAGTTATGTTTTAGTTCCCTCCATGCTTATAATGTGCTTATACTGTTATATCTTTTTACTTTATGAAAGTGAACATGGATTACTTTGTGCCGAGTATGTGAACACATAGTACACTTCACTCACCCACTACCTTTCTACTCCCCTACAAGATTCAATATGTCTTGATGGCTATGTATAACCATCCCCTATGTTTCATATGCTATCATTCCTTTTGTCTTTATTTCCTTGTCTTACTTCTTTCTAGAAGTTTAAAAGGTATATTTAATTACTTTGATGATGACAATGAGCTCTAATGATGGCACATTGTAATTGCAGAATCTTTGAGCATGTTAGGTTATGAAGGTAAAACTAAGGTTTTTGTATATGGTATTTAAATAATGATATAATCCTGGATTATACAGGTAGGACCAACATAATTACAAAAGTTTACTCATAAAGGTCAGGCAGGCAAGCAAACCAATCAGAGAAAAGACAAGCAGGGTTACCAACCAAGAAAGGCTGGTAGCCTCTTGCCTAGAATCATCAGAAAAAATGCAGTTATCCAATAGTATATATTAGTATCAAGATATTATGTTTTCTCATAAATATACATATTTTATTTTATACATATCACTCAAATGTATTTAATGAAAGCACAGGGTTTTCAAAACCCTATTTGAGATTTCTGACCTCCAGAAGTGTTAGAGCATAAATTTGTTAAAGGACTGATAAGAAACAAACATATCTCTCTGTTCATAATTAAGATTTTAAAAACTGGTTTTAGAAATTGAAGCAGAGAAAGAAACACACACAGAGTAAATACTAAGTGTGTTTTTTTGGGGTTGCATTTCTTCTTCACTGGTCACCATCCATTTTAATTTAATCATTGCTCTGTAGAAAGAGCCTGTAAAGGCTTTGGGGGAGGGAGTGTTCTGGCTTGCTTTCTTTGGCCAGAGAAAGCAAATATCTCAGTAGCTCATTGTGCCTGTGCTGTGCTCCTTTATTTGCTGATTTTTGACCTGTTGTCTGTCTTAGGGGTTCATACTTGTTTTGTATCATTTACGCTCTGCGTTTGTCATGTACTTTGGTCAATTTATAATTTTTTCTCTTTTGTTTGTTTTCTTTATTCTGTTTCTGAATCAAATTATTTAATGAGAATAAATGTACATTTTCCAGCTAGTTTTAGCTATCATTCTGTATATACGTATGTGTGTATGCATATTTGTAATAATTCTAGGGAAATAGGCAAGCAGCAATTAACCACGGTTACTGGTAGCAAAGTAAAATAAGGTGCTCATTATCACTGATCCTTCTTTCCAGCCCTCATGTGATCTTTTGGTTCTAAACAAATATTGTATGTACAATACCAAAGCATGGTGTTAAAAAGAATAAACTGTGAATACAATCTATGTGGTCTTAATTTTGGAGCACCACTAGTTAATAACTGGGTTCCTGTACAAGTTGTTCTATCCCTTGCTTGAGTTTCTTGACCAAGGGAGTCCACACTTCATAGAACCATTGTGAAATTAATTATTTTAATAAAATGTTACATGAGTGTATAGTAAATACTTTCTTTATAAAAATATCATTATTTCTTATTAAATAAAAACACGATTTGAATAATTGTCATATTTACTTTGAGTAAGTTGTTATGGCATCTTGTTAGTGTATCATCTTTCACACCATCATGCGACTGCATAATTTTGATTATTAAGGAACTGAAGAGTTTGGAAAGCATTAGGATGTCTTAACTTGAATATAATATTGAGGATCTCAGGGAACAAAATTGAGGCCCAAGTTGCTTTAGCAATATTTTTATGACTCTATACTGCCTACTTTTATTTTCTGTCCAGGAGAATATGTCGTCATGACAACCCACTTTCATCTGAAGAGAAAAATTGGATACTTTGTCATCCAGACCTACTTGCCATGTATCATGACTGTCATTCTGTCACAAGTGTCTTTCTGGCTTAATAGAGAATCTGTCCCTGCCCGCACAGTCTTTGGTAAGTGTTACTTCATGGAGAATGGGGGAGAAGCACTTGTATGGTTCTAGTAGAGGGAAGAAAATTAGAGGAATGAACTGCTACTACAGAACAGGATAGTGTCCAAGTTCAGTAGTAGTAATGGCGTTGCCAGATGCTGAGATTTCAAGTAACCAAATTCTTAACAAAGGAGCAGGGATACAAATGATGCAGTAGTGCAATTACCCAAATGTTCCCTATCTTATTTTGACTCAGGAAGAAATTGAGTCTTCAGTGAAGACTACACAGCAGAGAATAGAAAAAGTAACAGGTGGAAAACCAACCTGAAAACAGATAAATACATTGGGCTTTATTTTAGGATTTATTTTATTTTATGTCTATAAGTATTTTGCCTCTATGTGTGTGTATGTACGTATGTATGTACGTATGTATGTACGCATGTGTGTGCACTGTGTGCAAGCCTGGTACCTATGAGGTGAGAAGAGGGTATAAGCTCCATATAGAATTGAGCTATCGATGGCTGTGAGCTACCATGTGGGTGATGGGAGCTCAATCCAAGTCCTTTGTAAGAGGAACAGATGCTTTTAACTGCTGAGTCATTTCTCCAACCCCCAGGAATGATTTTCTCTATATATTTGTGACTTGTATCTGTTCCAGCCTTTTGAGAGAATGAATTCACTGCTATTCAGTAAAGGCTGTGTGTACACTTTAGAGGGTTTCTTGAACAGTATGTACAATCAGAGAAATTTATTTCAATATGAGGTTTACTTAGATCTAGGAAGAAGTTTGCATATCATATATTGACCTCTTTTTCCTCAGAGACTTAAAGCATACGAAGCATTTTCTGCCTGTTTTTCCCATAGCAAGTTTTTAGGAGAACAAAAATTTATTCTTTCAGGCTATTGAACCACTGGGCAAACAGAGATTCTGAAGTATACAATTGGATATGCTAGATAATCATACAAAAGGCATTTCTGCCAATATCTTGAAGCTTTGCAGTATTGTTACATCAGTAGTAAATGATGTTTCAGAAAGAAGTAGCACATTAGATCAAGTTCAGGAGGAGATAGCAGCAGCAGCAGAGAGAAAGTACAAAACAATAAGAAAGTTACAACATTATAGAAGTCAAGAGGTAAGTATTTAGTGGCAGGAAATAATCATGTGGGCTGAAGGTCTACTGTGAATTTTTGTAAAACACAGGTAGGAGCTGTTTCTTGGTTAAAGTGGTATACTCAGATATTACTGAAGTAGAGGAAACAGAAGCTTTATGGGTGTGGTTATGAGTGGCCTTTATTAGAGGAAAAACTGTGATTAGAATATATTGTATGAAAAAAGTATTTTCAATAAAAAGTGGCTATTTAGCTGGGTTACTAGTTTTGGTAAAGAAGTATCTGAATTTTAAAATATAAAAGAAGGTGCTGAGCTTCAACCCTGTTAAGGATTATAACTAAAGTTATGGTTATACTGAGTGATAGCCTCCAAAATTTCATCTCCAAGTTTCTGGGATATGAAAATATGACTCCAGATATGATGCAGTTAAGGATTTCCAGCTGGATATATTATTGGGCACTGTAAGATATTTAACTATAGAAGAATAAGTGTTGTGATAAAGGAAGCAGACCAAATTGGAAGATGTTCTGTTGTTGTCTTATAGGAAGAGAGAAAGGCTTACTAGACAAGAAATGCAATTGATGTAGCATTGAAACCTGCAAAGGACAATAGATTATAATTATTACACCATATCCTTCAAAGGGAGTGGGACCCTGGTCAAGATGGACCTTAACTCAGTAGAACTAATTTCAGGCTTATTATGCCTATATCTGTAATTACAGGTTTGTGGTATTTTAAGCCACTAGATATATGATAACTTGTTACATCAACCATAAGAAATTAAGACAAAAAAAACATTCCCACAAATCCAATACCATTCAATGCTTGTGACCTCAATGTAAGAGAACATTAAGAAATTACACATAGGATAGAAAGATAATGTGAAAATACTTTGATTGTGACCTAAGTTATGTATAAAATACAGGTTTCCTTGAGAATTTATTCTTTTTGTAAGTGCCTCATACTAATTCAGAATTCTTATTTATGGTAACTGCATTGATGAGGAAATCTCAAAGTTTAAATGTTAATTTAAAAATCAAAGACAAAGAGCCAAGAATAGCAAATATTGTCTTGAATAAGAACAGACTGGAGAGACATGCCCCATAAGGTGTCAAGATAATTAAAATGCAATAGTCATTAAGGCAGCATTGTATTGGCATAAAGAAAAGAAAATTAAGTAAATTAAAAAATACAGTGAACTTGAAAGTAGTCTCTTGTATATGGAAACTTGATTTATCACAAAGATATCACTGAAGATAATTAATTGAAAATTATTCATGGACTTTAATATAAAACTTAAAATTATGATGTTCTTTGAATAAAACACAAAAATGATACAATATCCATGCATCTTGTAGAATATGTACCTTAGCTTTTTAAGAACTAGTCAAACATTTTCCAAAGTGGTTATATCATTTTACATAAACCCCCTAATCTGGATATTCTTCTCTTACACATATGACCAATTGAAACAAATAATATAATAAAATGCATTAAATAAAAGCACTTCCATAAGAATGTTCATATATTTCATTCACAAAAAATTAGTGACTAGCCATATATTGATACAACTGTATACATTTCTTCAAAGAAATTAAATGTGAAAGATACTTTCATTTTATTGTATATTAATTATACTACAGCTTAAAAATACAGACCTGTGGGATTATAGATGTTGGAGCAATCAAACAGAGATTTTCAAATAACCATAATAAATATTTATAAATAAATGAATGAAATGATGAAAGATCAGAAGAAAGACTGGGTGCAGGAACATGTTGGTTATCATAGAACTTGAAATACAAATTAATATTAATTTATTTAAAAATAGTTAAGCTACCTCCTGAAATGAAAGAAAAGAAGAAAGAAGGAAAGAAAAAAGAAAGAAGGGAGTGAAGGAAGGAAAAAAATAAATACTGATGGCTGTTCACTAAATGAAAGGAAGATTATCCTACAATTAAGGTTGAAATTATTAATAAAAATAATGAGTAAATGAGTTATGGTGACTTTATTAATAATAGTAATGACTTATAAAGAAAATACTGTAGTCTAATGTAATCTATGTATGTTGATATGGAAAATAAAAATATTGTACATATTTTCATTATTAATGAAAAATATCAATTAGCATTAAATTTTCATAAATCAAGGATACATAGTGACTGAGAATTGTCTATGTCTTTGAAAACTGTTAAATGTACAACTACTTTAATAAACTTGACAATGTCATATAAACATATCATATCATATAATCTTCCAGTTCCATCCCTAGGCATTTATGAAGAGAAATGAAAGCATACTTGCATAAATACTTAAAGCAATTTGTTTAAACACTTTTATTATATATTGAAAATTGGAAACATTCAGATGCCCATTAATAAGTGAATAGATGGACAAATTAGGTTACACTAAAACTATAGACTCACTCTGAAATCAAGAAAAGTGTTCTCAAGATGAAATATGAATAAACCCAAACTATGACATTAAGTGAATGTATTCAGACACAAATGTGCACATACTGTATGATAATGACACGACACTGGGTGTGTGGCTGAGAGCAAGGAGAGGGTATTAGGGACATGGAAGAGTCTATGAGAAGGAGTCATGTCAGTTCCCCTCATCATGTAGTTTGGTGGAACAGACACATCTTAACAAGTAAGTGTATTAGAAGTACTAATATGAAATGAGAAGGTCAGTCAGTTCTACCTTAGTCTTGGAAGAAGAGCTTTCTAGAAGAGTCTTAGGCTGAAGTACTCTGTGGGGTATACAGAATGCATGCTTGATTGAGAGCCCTTGCAACTCTGACCAACTAAGAGCTCTCTGTAAAGTGACAGATCTGATTAACTCCCAAAAGCTAAGCTCAAAAACTCTCTATTGATATAAGGCACAGAATATTTATGGTACAGGACAATTGCTGTAGATGTACTCAGGTGGACCATGCATTTGTTCACAGCATGAATGAGGTAGCTTATTTCTCCCAAAAGGCTCTACATCCTTCTCAATTTAATTTTTCTGAGAACTTCATACATAAGTACTGAGTCTTGGTATATTGGGGATGGTGAGGTTTGGGTCTATTATCGTTTTTTGGTTTATAAGTACTACATTGTAGCTGATCCTCACATTGTTTAAGCTGTATTTTTGCTGCTCAGCTCTGATGCTAAGTTTCAGCAAATGTGCACCTTTACTTCCTTTGTTAAAAATTCTTCTATAGTCTAGATTTTCATGTATACAGCAAATGTATAAGCAAGGAATTCAAAGAAGCAAGACAGGATAATTAGCACCAGGGGTGGACACTCAAGAGCCTTTATTGTCTCAATAGCGCTAATAGAGTCAGTGATTCCTCTTTTGCCTTATTCTTTAGCATCTTACCCCATCAGCATTTCATTCTGTGCCCTGCTTGTCCCATGCACAGTCTTCCTCTTCAGTCTTCCAACAATCAGAGAGATATTGTGGCCATTTCTCCTTTAAATCTGATTGCATTCAGGAATATGAAAGACCTGGATTTTCTGATACTCACAGACGGGGAGAAAGAAGGCACAGAGATATTAAAGTGTTTAACAAGCTACAAAATGAGTAAGTGGCAGCCAAAAGAGTTCTAGTTCTACAAAAATTCTCAAGATACAATTGAGAATAGCTTTGATTGTTCAGAAATCTCAATTGAGACCTAGAAATTGATGCATTTGCAGAAACATTCTCCATAGTACTTTGTTGCCTTATCAGAAGAAATCACAAAAAAAGAGTAGAAACCAGACTGAACTCAGTTCTTTGCCTTGAATCATGACCTTAGTTTCAGGCTTGTTGAAATAAAACTACCAAGGTGAGAGAAAGGTGAGCAAAAGGAGAACATGAGGCAAACACTGATCTCCAGTGCTCTGGAGATGAAGACTCTTCTTAGGTCTCTACAGGTCTGTCCTAGAGATGAGGGATTACATTTTCACTTCCTGTTGGGTTACAGAAAGAACATTGAGATCCATCAGTAGGCTGATCATTAGAGGAAGCAGATTTAGCTCAAAAGTAAGTCTTTCTAATTTAGAAGCTCTCTTACAACAAAATGAGCTACCCACTCTTCAGAAGAAATGCTTAGTCAGAGGTTAGGGGGCAACAATAGAGGTACTACACTGAAAGAATCTAATTCTTATGGCAGTTGGAATAAAGTGCTTCCTTGGTTGATCTATCTATCTATCTATTGTCTGTCTGTCTGTCCATCTAAAATTTACTTTAAAACAGGGCATTACTTGAAGCAAAGGGAAAGTACAGTTTATTACAAAAGAGTAAATCAAGATACTCCACAGACAACACAAGTTAATGGACCTTACTGAATAAGGTGAAGCACTTCCTATCAAGTACACTGCCAGGGTCTTCCAGTTATAACTGGCTCTTGACTTTTCTCTCCTTAGGTGTCACCACTGTTCTCACTATGACCACCTTGAGTATCAGTGCCAGAAATTCCTTACCTAAAGTGGCATACGCGACGGCCATGGACTGGTTCATAGCCGTCTGTTATGCCTTTGTATTTTCTGCACTGATTGAATTTGCCACTGTCAACTACTTCACTAAGCGAAGTTGGGCTTGGGAAGGAAAGAAGGTACCAGAAGCCCTGGAGATGAAGGTGAGTTGCAATAAAGGAAGGGCTGGGAAGCACTTCCTGAGAGATCTGTATTGGGACCAGAAGTGAACAGCCTGTAGCTTGCAGGAACTGAGCAGGGCTATGTGCTATTCACTGGGGTCATCAATCCAATTCTCAACTGGAGTGTTTCTTGGCAACCTGGGGATCAATTAGGAACTACAAAAAGGAGGATAATAGCATGTAGAGTTTATGTCTTGTGCTGAGTCAAATATAAATGTTATGCTGCTAGACTCTGGGGACTTTGGTACTTAGAAAGTAACCCAAACGCTTAGAGTCTTATCTACATCTGAAGCACAGCTTCCAGGACCATTTCTCCCCCTCACTCTCTGGAACGTTCACATTCCAGTCAAAATGAAGTGCTCATCATTCTTTCCAAGTCTTTCTCTATTTTTTTTTCTCTACCCGAAGTGTTCTTTTTTTTTTCTTCCTGGTAAATACCTACTTATTCTTCCAAACCCAACTAAAACATTACTATCTCTGTAGATCCTGTTAGGATCCATGGGGACAGATTTGGCTTTCCTATGTATGAGTACTCTGATATTAAAATAATTTAGTTGTATTAAAAGTACTCATTTGTCTCCTTGCAATATTATGAACATCATGCCTATTGGAACCTTATCTTCATCTTAGCACAGTATCTGAATAAGAATGAAAGCTGGAGCCGGGCGTTGGTGGCGCACGCCTTTAATCCCAGCACTCGGGAGGCAGAGGCAGGCGGATCTCTGTGAGTTCGAGGCCAGGCTGGACCGACAGCCTCCAAAACAGAGAAACCCTGTCTCGTAATACCAAAAAAAAAATAATGAAAGCTGAAGAAATGTTGGCTAAGTGGGTAGATAAAGAGATAAGATAAACTCACTGGATCAATAGTAATTAACCATGAATGGGATCAATAGTTTTTAAACACTTCAAGACCAATTTGTATTGCCAAATAATTTTAGATGTGTGATCTTCAAAATAGCACAGGAAGGAACATTTCCAAATTCCTGTTGTGAAGCCACCATTACCCCGATACCAAAACCAAAGATTCACCCCAAAAAGGAGAAAATTATAGACCAACATCTCTGGTGAACATTGATATTTATATGTAGATGGACTTTCTTTGGACTTCCACGTCCCAAATAATGACACCGAACTCTTATTAAGTATGAAAGCTTCATTAGCTTAGGCTTGTTCTCAACTAGCTCTTAAAACTTAAATTAACCTATTTATATTACTCTGTTTTCTACCATGTCACTCATTACCTCTCTTCAATACTACTGATGAATGTTCCACCTCTCAGATTCTTTCCCTGATTTCCTCTCTCTCCCTAGAAGTTCTGCCTATCCTCTCCTGCCTAGCTATTGTCCATTTAACTCTTCATTAAACCAATAAGGTGGTATCTTATACAAGTGAGGCAAAACAGATACATATCTTCACAGTGTACAAAAGATTATCTCACATTTCCCCCTTTCATCTAAATAAAAAGGAAAGGTTTTTAATTCTACCATAGCATATATGGTGACTATTATTAAGTAAGAATTACATTCACAATTTCTAGTCCATTTGTATTGAAAACTTGGAGAAAATACTCTATTATCTATCCTATCTTGGTGAGTCCAAAGTTTTACACTTAACCCACTTTCTATCATAACTTCTATTACCAACTTAAAATTCCTTTTTAGACCATAAAACATTTTCTCAGATAAAGAACTTAAAACTTTTAAGCATCTCAATCTTTACGACTTTACATCTTTTTTATGTGTTTCTTTTCTGAATTTGGTAACAAGAACTCTAAAACTATAACTATCTAGTCTTCAATCCCATTAGAGATTTAAGATACATATAACTTGAGTAAACAGGAAGTACAGAGCAAGCAACTTTCAAAACTACAGAAATGACAGAGACAGCTGGTTGCCTGGACAGTCACCCAAGGTTTCTCTGAAACATTGGGACATCCATCTTCAGCCTACAGGCCCAGAATATCTAATAGACTTTTCCATGAAGCAAGAATTCTGAAGGACTGGCCTACATTGTCTTTGAATTGTTCAGCAGTCAACTTCCTTTGTGTCCTGCTTGTCCAATTTGAATAACATACTGTTATCAGTAAAGGTAAGGGCAGTTTCTTGCCCAGTGGCTAGCTTTGCTACATTTGAAGGAAACTCCATATAGGGGTTATTTGATGACCATTATCTTTCTTGAAGTAGATTGATACTGTCAGGAGACGGTGTGTCTCAGTGTTATGAAAACCCTTACATTATTAAAATATTTTAAATGCCATATTCTGCAGGTCTCTAAAGTGTTTGAATAGCACCTATCTATATAAAATACATAAGGATGAATACAGTTTATTTCTGTCTACATCTAAACCCTTACTACAAGTTTGATTGTTTCTTAATTATCCTAAACAGTTTCTAATAGAAGCTTTCAAGGACTAGATCTTTATATTATAATTTTAATGAATTGCACAATTACAATACTTACAGTCTGCCATAACAAAAATAACCTTAAATTTCTGTCAATATACAAAATCCATACCAATATAAAATATTTAAGACTAGTAGTTGCTTTTTATTTTAAAAGTAGATTCAATAATCTACCCTTTTATCCTATTACTCTTATATCTCTTCCCCTTTTTTCACTAGATAGGACAGAACGGGTGGAGGAAAGAAAAAGAAAGAAAGGAAGAAATTCCTTCTAACTTCCTTTGCTTAGTTTCCTTCCTGAACATGACCACTAACAGCTTGCAAATAACCCCCCTAAACAATGACAAACATCCATAACCTACTGAATGACAGTGTACAAAATGATTATGCCACAGTACTTATATACATAATTTAAATAATTTCAAATTTTTCTACTATATTCAGGTAGGCTTCATCCCAGTGATGCACAGATGATTCAATGCATGAAAAATCAGTAATATATAATCTACCACTTAAATAAACTGTATGACAGAAACAATATGATATATCATTAGATTCAGAAAAGGTATTTGACAAAAATCTAACATCCACCATGATCACAGTCCTAAAGAGACTTGGAATATAGGGGAATATAAGGGACATATTTCAACACAGTATAGACAATATACAGTAAGACCCCATCCAGCATCATCATAATGGGAGAAAACATCAAATAATTTCTACTAAAACAGGAATGTCCACTCTCCTTATTCCTGTTCAACATAATAAGTGGTCTTACAGCAATAAAACAAGTGAAGGAGATGAAGTGAAATGAAAATAGGAAATTCAGAGTATATTTATTTGCAGATGATACAGTTTTACGTATAAAAGTTCCTGAAGACTCTATGTATAAAAGTTTCTAAAGACTCTATAAAAGTTCCTGAAGACTTCTATTTTTATCAAATTTAAGTATTTTTGGAGATTTATTTTATTGTGAGTGTTTGTGTGTGTGTGTGTGTGTGTGTGTGTGTACATGTGCTGGTGTAGGTCTGTACTGCATAGGGTGTTGGTTCCCCTGGAGCTGGAGATATAGGCAGTTGTGAACGAATTGCTTGATGTGAGCACCGGGAATTGAACTTGGGTCTTCTGCAAGCATAGCTATCCTTGTTAACCACTGAGTCATAGCTTTACCCTCTTAATTTAAATTTTAACCTTTTTTACTGTCTTTCTAGTAAATATGGAAACCATCATATGAAGTTTACCTCAATTGCTTGTTTATTTCTTCTCCTCAAAGCACTGATAGTATCTGAATCTTTTCCATTCTTTCCTTTTTGAACCTGGATAATTCCCCACGTATGCTCTAGATAACTCCCATCCTTTTCTTTATTATTTTAATTTAAAATAGCTTGCTTCACATGTCAATCCCAGTTCCCTCTCCCTCCCCTCCTCCTGCACCCCCCCCAACCATCCCCTCCAGCCTCCCACCCTATCCCCACTCCCACATATGGGATATCTCGAGTCTGTCATTTCACTCAGGGTAGGGTCCAGGCACTCCCCCTAAGAGTCCAGGCTGAGAGAGCATCTCTCTTTGTGTTATAGACGCACGAAGTCTGTTTGTATGCCAGGGATAAACACTTATCCACTGTCCAGGGCCCCATAGGTTGCCCAGGCCTCCTCATTGACTCTCACATTCAGGAGGTCTGGATCAGTCCCATGCTGGCCTCCCAGCTGTCGGTCTGGGGTTCAAGAGCTCTCCCCTGTTCAGATCAGCTGTCTCTGTTGGTTTTGCCAGCCCATTCTTTGCCAATTTGCTCATCGCTCCTCTCTATCTATCACTGGGTTCCTTGGGTTCTGTTCACTGCTTAATTGTGGGTGTTTGCCTCTGCTTCCATCAGTCACTGGATGAAGGCTCCAGGATGGTTATAGACATCAATTTTATTATCAGGAATGGGCATTCGAGGTGGTGTCTCCACTATTGCTTAGCTTGCCAATTGGTGTCATTCCTTTAGATCACTAGAGGTCTCACTGCTGCCAGATCTGTCTTCTAACCTATGATTCCCTCTCCCCCCTATCATACTCCCCACTCAACCTTCCTTTTCCCCCATGACCTACTCTCTCTTCCTCTTCTCCCCCTCTCTTCTTCCCAGCTGCCATTCCCCCACCCCCACCCCTCGCCATGTTCCCCATCTGTTCAGAGGATCTTGCCTCTTTCCTCTTCTTTTGGTTACCATGCATATCTCTTAGGTTTTTTCCTGTTTCCCAGACTCTGTGTCAGTGGAAGTGCAGACTGGCACTATCCTAATCCATGTCTAAAATCCATATATGAGTGAGTACATACCATGTTTGTCTTTTTGTGACTGGGTTACCTCACTCAGGATGGTTTCTTCAAGTGACATCCATTTGCCTGCGAATTTCAAGATTCCATTTTTTTTTATTTCTGCTCAGTAATACTCCATTGTGTAAATGTACCACATTTCTTTATCCAACTCCCATCCTTTTAGAAAGTTGGCTTTCCATCTGCATTTTCCTTCCCTTCTATAGGCTTAATTGATTCCTCTAAGTCGATCTGCCTTCCTCTGTCATTCTTTACCTCATTTTTTT